CAGGAATCTTGGATTTGTTTGTTAAGTACTGCTTTTTGCCAGGTTTCTTCTTCCAGAAGCACGAAAACACCAGAAAACCGAGGAAGAAACGAGAAAGTTCTCCCGGAAAATGAACCTTGCCCGAGTTTTCTGCAGAAGATTACACCAAAAATGTCTGGCTTCTGAATCCAAATCTCAGATGAGAGTCGATACGGTCGCAAGGGATATTATCAGACCTTCATCCCCGACCCCTGACCACTTGAGGCACTTCAAACTCTCTCTTCTGGAACAGCTCGGTCCTACGATCTTTGGCCCTATGGTTTTCTTCTATTCAAGCAGCAGATTCAGACAAGCCGAGCAACTGCAGAAGCTGAAGAAATCGTTGTCCGAGACATTATCTCATTTCTACCCTTTAGCTGGACGACTCAAAGGGAACGTTAGCATCGATTGCAATGACTCGGGTGTTGATTTCCTTGAAGCAGAAGCTGATTCTTCACTTTCGGGGTTTCTAGAGGAACCCTACTTAGAAGGGTTGCAGCAACTGATTCCGACACAGGTTGATTCACCGGAGGCAAGAACAAAGTTACTTCTGGCGCAAGCAAGCTTCTTTAGATGTGGAGGCATAGCTCTGGGCGTTTGCCTTTCCCATAAGATAGCCGATGCGTCTTCTATAGGTCTGATCATGAAGAGCTGGGCTGCCATGTCGGCTCGAGGATCCATGAAAACCGTTGGATTTCCTGTCTATAACACAGCAAATCTCTTCCCGCCGGGAAATTTCTCGGACACAGATCCTGCGCCGGTGGTTGAGCCAGAGATCATGAAAAAGACGGTTTCGAAGAGATTTGTCTTCGGCGCTTCCGACATCCAATCTCTGCAAGCGAAATCTGCAAGCTCTGAAGTGAGCCAACCGACAAGAGTCGAGGCTGTCTCTGCCCTCATATGGAAATGCGCAATGAAAGCAACGAGAACAGTATCAGGAACACCGAAACCATCAGTGATCGCACACGCTACAAATATACGCCGGCTTGTCTCTCCGCCATTGCCGGAGACCTCCATCGGCAACCTCGTAAGCTACTTCGCGGCTCGAGCAGAGGAGGAAAACCAGACAAAGCTTCAGAATTTGGTCTTCCAGATAAGGAAAGCGAAACAGAACTTTAGAGATAAACACGTACCCAAGCTAATAGGAAACCCAGAAGCTCCGGACATCATCTGCAACCACCAGAAAGAAGCAGGGGATATGATCGCGAGTGGGGAGTACGATTTCTACATCTTCTCGAGCGCTTGTCGGTTCGATCTGTATGAAACGGACTTCGGATGGGGAAAACCGACATGGGTCGGAGTTCCGTCTGTACAGCAGAAGAACATGATGGTGCTTTTCGACACGAAGGAGCCTGGAGGAATCGAAGTGTGGGTTAATCTGCATGAAGAAGAGATGGAACTCTTTGAAAAAGACAGCGAATTTATCGAATTCGCTTCTCCAAATCCCTGCATCATTGAACCCTTTCTCCATGTCCTTTGATCGCTACAGAACCGAAGCTTCCAGGGCAGATATGTATGTTCTTCAAGGAAAAGAGAAAGATACAACGCGGAAATCAACTAGCCGTTGGAGGCTACAAAATGATGACGTGGAAAATGAAATAATCCAATAAATAAATAATAAATGAAAATTAATGTCGGTGAACTTTTTTTTTTTTTTGTTAAAGGTCGGTGAACGGGCATTTATCTTTAAATGATAATGAGAAATGACCGTTCGGTTTTAATTCAAAGATTGAGGTTGGAGCGGAACCGAAGATCGAGAATCGCAGAAGCGAAGATCGAGAATCGCAGTTTACAAGCGAAAGCATAAGGAAGGCGAGGACTCACATGATTAGGATTAGGGTTTTTCTCTTTCATCTGTTCTTCGGTACTTTCTTTTCCTCTTTTTGTTTGCGAGAAATTGGAGAACCCGCTAGACTGAATCTTGTTTTTACCGCCGCATTCCAGCCAGGAAAAGCTTTCAACTCCCAATGGAATCAAGGCAAGATCTTGCACTGTATCTTCTCCTTTCAGCTTCCGGATTGATGAAAGAGCAGAAAAGAGGAAAGAGGTATAATTGCCCTGAGAAGACGAAGATGGAGCAATAGATTATTAACTTTCTTGTTGTGGCTTTGTTAGTTCTTCAAGAAAGTTGAAGAGAAGAACAAGAATGAGGTGGCTGAAAAAGATCGATCGCTCTCTGGCTTAAAGGCAACGCGTATCACCCACTTTGCTTATAAAGCTACTGCAGGTTCAGTCCGAAAGCATTTCCAGAACTTAAAAAATGGATGTCTTGATGAGATTGGGAAAGCAAGAAATGAGTGGGCAACATCTCCGGAGACATCAAAATTTAGGTACTTTTCTTTCTTTCTTCAAAGTTGGATTTCTTATCTCGTTAGGGAGACAAGCCGGCATGTCTTCTTCCTATTTTGGATTTTAGAATCCGGTGGTCAACAGGCAAAAATACCCTGTAAGCAAGTCTCTCTTTTATGGGATTTTTCCCTTTTTGAGAAAGTTTTAATCTTTTTTTTTTGAATGATCATATGCAGTTTTGTTTGCCCTTTTTCCAACAGAGCTCTTATAAACTGAACTAACAATCTCAAGGGGTTATATAGTGAATCGTCTCCATTAACCCAGAAGAATCGCAGAAGCCTCTGGCGTTGCCCACATGCTTCAAGAGCGAGATTCCCATGTCTCTTGTTTCAGGGCATCATTTCTCAGGCTGTCCTGTGAAACGGGACACTGGGTTTGCTGTGCCGACAAGAATACAACACAGTGTCCAAACCGACAATGACCGCGAGAGGTTGACAACTCATGCCGCTTTTACTTTCCCGCCGGTGTTTCTGACAAAAGGAGGCCGAGACACAAAGCAGAAGCAGGTCAAGCAAGACCTTTTCGAGGCCATCGCCCTCCTCGACCACGCTGCCATGCCTGACGACAAGCTCCGTGTGGATCAGGTTCTCTTTTCCTTTCCTTTTGATTCACATTGTCACCTGATAGACTGGAACAATAACGTCTCAGGATACACTATGATGAGTGTCAGAACTTGTACGAAGTGATCTGATTGTAAAGTATTGCTTTGAGGACCAGTCTATTACAATCCAGAACCTTGAGAGCAATTTCATAAGTCAAATCGATGGGCACTGGTTCATGATAGTAAAACATGATTGCTAATGAGGATTCGTATGGAGAATACATTAGCAATTCTAATGAGGATTCATATGGAGAATACAACATACAGGTTTGTTCTTGGTAATCAAACCTATCATAAGATGACGCCTGTTCTCATTGCTTTTTCTCTCTGGTTAAGGTGACGGATAGTGCGTAAGCTGGAAGCGGTTAATCCTACTAAGGCGCCTCTGAATTCCGATTTACTCAATGGAAAATGGGAGATCATTGATACGACCTCTGTGTCCATTTTTCAGATAAAGGTAAAATCGAAATCCTTCCTCTTCTCTGGCTGCAAAATCTGTTTAAACGAATTGCAGGTGGATCTGCAGGGTCCCAAATGAATTGGTTGTGATATTTATATTCAGTCCCAAGCATTTCCAGAACGTAAAAAATGGATGTTTTGAATAGACTAGGAAAAAAAGAAATGAGTTACCTTCTTAAATCCTTAGAGCTCCACAATGAAGAACATTGTTTTTCCCCTTCATTGACTGTTAAATCTTTATGTATCGAAATATAATAGTATGCAGATACCACAGACGAGACTGAGCTCAGCCTCACCAAGACAATGTAGGAACCAACATCTATGCTTGAACAACAATGAGAAGTCTCATCATCCTCCACAGGAGATTCTTCGGTAATCACAAGAATTACCGAGAATGCTGCAGGAGAGAAGCAAAGACACAGAAAGATCCATCCTTCCACTCCTACCACTTCACTACTGAAGAGGAAAACTCGGGAAAATCTTTCTCTGATCCATAAGTGGGTTCTCCAGCATTAGTGAAAAAATCGTTGATACGTGGATAGCTGTCTTGACATAGATGCCAGCATTCTATGGTGTTGAGTGAAATAGAAAGTTTTGTTTTCAGCTCTGTTGATTTCCTCGAATTCGTGTATATAGCCAATGTAGTACTACTTAGATGTAGAATGTATGCATTTTTTTTGCATGTTATTTGCCCTTTGTCAAAAGCTTCAGAAACTCATTGATCACGCGTCTGTTAGATTTTCATCGCTGTTTTGATCTTGTATTGGTGTGTAGCCTCTTCCTCCTATGGGTTGATGGGGTTGATTTGGTTGGTGCAAAGAAAACAACAGGGGTGAAAGCAAACATGTGCAGAGGCAAACCGACATGGGCCGGAGTTTCGTCTGTACAGCAGAAGAACATGGTGGTGCTTCGGGACACGAAGGAGAGCCTGGAGGAATCGAAGTGTGGGTTAATCTGCATGAAGAAGACAGGGAATTTATCGAATACGCTTCTCCAAATCCCTGCGTCATCGAATCCTTTCTCCCTTTCCTTTGATCACTACAGAACCGAAGCTTCCGGAGCAAATATGCATGGTCTTTATACCAAAAAAAAAAATATGCATGGTCTTCATGGAAAAGATAAAGATCCAACGCGGAAATCAACTAGCCGTTGGAGGTAAAGTATGATGACGTGGAAAATGAATTAATGTCGGCTATCCTCTTTTTTTTTGGTTATAGGTCGGTGGACATAATATCCTTAAAAGAGAGAATTACGGTCATAATCAGAGTTTCAATTCAAATCTCGAGGTTGGAGCGGAAGCGAAGATCAAGAATCGCAGTTTCCCAGGGAAAGCATTACGAACGCGAGAGAGAAATCACAGGATTAGGGTTTTTCTCTTTCCTCTGTTCGAAGTATTCAGTGTTTTCTTTCTTCTTCTTCTTCTTCTTCTTCTTCTTGTCTGTCTGGATTGCGAGAAAATGGGAGACCGCTTGTCTGGCTCGCTTATTTCCGTGAAACCGAAGAGGTCAGTACTTACTTCCCCATGTCTTTTTCCCTTTTCTCACTTCGTCGCTCTCTTTTCTTTCCAAAATTCTATTTGGTTGGTTAGAAAGTGTAGAAAAGTTTGGGAGTGATGTGGTTTGCGATTGTCTCCAAATGATTTCGGTTCTTACACCGAGAACCCATCCGATTTAGGGTTTTTCTATTTCATCTGTTCCGAAATCGGTACTTTCTTTTCTCCTCTTTTTGTCTGTTTAGATTGCGAGAAAATGGGGGAATCCCTACCGCATTGCAGCCAAGAAAAGCTTTCAACTCCTAATGGAATCAAGGCAAGATCTTGCACTGTATCCTCTCCTTTCGGCTTCCGGATTGATGATAGAGCAGAAAAGATGAAAGAGGTATAATTGCTCCCCTGCTTGTGTTATATCTTTCAGTTGTCATTAGAATTTCCTGAAAAAAGAAGCTGATGGAGCATAGATTATTGGCTTTCTTGTTGTGTCTTTGTTAGTTCTTCAAGAAACTGGAAGAGAAGAACAACAATGAGGTGGCTGGAAAAGCTAGTGCAGATTCAATCACATGCATTTCCGTAAAAAATGGATGTCTTGATTAGACTAGGAAAACTGGGGAGAACCTTTCTCGGCATACCCATCAATGGATTCTCTAACACAAGTGAAAAAATCAATGACCTATGCATAGATGTGTATCATGTGTTGACATAGTTGCCAGCATTCTATGGTGTTGGCTGGAGTAGAAAGTTTTGTTTTTGGGCTCGGGTTATTACATCGTGTTCGTATCTGTAGGCTATGCAGTACTCTAGATATAAATACATATATTTTGCATATTAATTACCCTATCGGAAGCTTCAGCTTCAGAAACCCGTTTAACAGTTGCTTATTATATTTTCATAGCTATTCTGATCTTGTGTGGATGCGTAGCTTTCTCATTTGGTTTTCATGAGGTTGATGCTGATATAGAGAAAACAACAGGGGCGAAAGCTAACGTGTGGGCAACATCCCCAGAGGGAGCCGACATCAAAATTTAGGTACTTTTCTTTCTCTCTTCAAAATTCAATTTCTTATCTCGTTAGGGAGACAAGCTGGCATGTCTTCTTCCTCTTTTGGATTTTAGAATCTGGTGGTCAGGTCAACAGGCAAATGCCCTGTAAGTAAGTCTATCTTTGATGGGATTTTTTCCTTTTCGAGAAAGTTTTAATCTTATTTTTTTTATGAATCATGATCATGCTGCTTTTTAATGTTTCTTAGTTTGCCCTTTTTCCAACAGAGCTCTTATTAACTGAGCTAGCAATCTCGAAGGTTGATATAGTGAATCGTCCCTATTAACCCATAAGAATCGCAGAAGCCTCTGGCATTGCTTACATGCTTCAAGAGCGAGATTCTCATGTCTCCTGTTTCCAGGCATCATTTCTCAAGCTGTCTTGTGGACAACATCTCCAGAGGGAGCCGACACCAAAATTTAGGTACTTTTCTTTCTCTCTTCAAAATTCAATTTCTTATCTAGTTAGGGAGACGAGCTGGCATGTCTTCTTCCTCTTTTGGATTTTAGAATCTGGTGGTCAGGTCAACAGGCAAACACCCTGTAAGTAAGTCTATCTTTGATGGGATTTTCCCCTTTTCGAGAAAGTTTTAATCTTTTTTTTTTATGATCATGAATCATTATCATGCTGCTTTTTTTATGTTTCTTAGTTTTCCATTTTTCCGACAGAGCTCTTATTAACTGAATTAGCAATCTCGAAGGCTGATATAGTGAATCGTCCCAATTAACCCAGAAGAATCGCAGAAGCCTCTGGCATTGCTCACATGCTTCAAAGAGCGAGATTCTCATGTCTCCTGTTTCAGGGCATCATTTCTCAAGCTGTTCGTGGGCTTGCTGTGCCGACAAGATTACAACACAGTGTCTGAACCGATGACTGTGAGAGGTTGAAAACTCGAGCTGCTTTTACTTCCTTGCCAGAGATTCTGACGAGAGGAGGCCGAGGCATGAAGCTGAAGCAGCTCAGCTGAAGCAAGACCTTTTCGTCGCCATCGCCGCTTGATGACAAGCTCCGTGTTGATAGGTTTTCTTTTCCTTTCCTTTTGATTCTGAATTCTTATTTTGTCAGGAGAGTGTCGCCTTTTTCCTCAGCTTCTGGAATCTGATGTTCCACAGGCAAATACCCTGTAAGTAACTCTCCCTTTTATGGGATTTTCTTTTTTTCGAGGAAGTTGTAGTCTCTATTTTTTTTAATGATCATGATCATGCTGCTTTTTTGTGCTTCGGGTGATACGTGGTTGAGTTGTAACAAGAAGTAAATAAGGAACCAACAAGAATCTGATTTAGCAACGCGTTATTTGCTCTGTGTTAAAAAGCTTCAGAAATGCAAATTATTTGCTCTGTGTTAAAAGCTTCAGAAACGCGTTGAACACTTGCTTGTTAGATTTTAATCGCCGCTGTTCTGATCTTGTATTGATGTGTTGCTTCTTCCACCTAAGGTTTTCATGGGATTGATTTTTGTGCAAAGAAAAAAAATACAGGGGCGAAAGCAAACATGTGGGCTCAAACTTCTGAAACATGTGGGATGATTTTTTGTGCAAAGAAAACAATAGGGGACAAAGCAAACGGTATCTAAAATTAGGTACTTTTCTTTTTTCTTTTTAAAATTCAATCTCTTATTTTGGTAGGAGAGACATGTCCGACAGTCTTCTTCCTCCGTGAGCCTCTGGAATCAGATATTCAACAAGCAAATAACCTGTTAGTAACTCTCTCTTTTGAGTTATTTTTCCCTTCTCATTCTCGGGAAACTTTAAGTCTCTTGACCCAACATGAATGGTATAGATTTGAAAATGTATATATTTTGCATATTATTTGCCACGTCTAAAAGGTTCAGAAACACGTAAAGCACTCGCTTGTTAGATTTTAATCGCTGCTGTTCTGATCTTTTACTGATGTGTAGCTTCTTCTTCCTAAGGTTTTCATGGGATTGATATTTGCGTAAAGAAAAAAAAACAGTGGCGAAAGCAAACATGTGGGCAGCATCTGCTTTAGAAGTCGAATCTGAAACATGTGGGAATCATGTGGTTTGATTTTTTTTTTCAAAAAAAACATGACAGAAGAAAGCAAACATGTGGGCAACATCTGCAGAGGGAGACGGTTTCTAAAGTTAGGTACTTTTCTTTTTTTTCTTCTCAAAATGCAATTGCTTGTTTTGTTAGAAGTGACAACCGGACAATCTTCTTCCCCAGTTAGCTTCTAGAATCGGATGTTCAACAAGCAAATACCCTGTAAGTGATCCCTTTTCTAGAAAGTTTTTTGCCTTTTTTTTTATGTTCATGATCATGATGCTTTTTATGCTTATTGGTTATCTATGGTTGAGTCGCAAGATAAAGTAGAAGAGAACCCAACATAAATCTGATTTCTAAGTTGGCAAAACTTGGTATAGATTGAGATGAAATTTACAGACAAGAGCTGGAGCCTCTGCTAGGCTTTAATATAAAATGCAAAAGGATTGATCCTTGCATATATATACACATATATATACATACATGTGTACATATATATAATTCACATATATACATACATATGTACATATATATAAATATATATGCATAAACATATACAGATATGTAGGTATATTCGTACATATATATACAAAATGCAAAAGGATTGATCCTTGCATATATGTACACATATATACATACATATGTACATATATATAAATATATATGCATAACCATATACAGATATGTATGCATATGCATACCTATATTCATACATATATATATGTGTGTGTGTGTGTAATGAGATTTTTCCCTTTTCGAGAAAGTTTAATCTTATTTTTTAGTGATCATGATCATGCTGCTGCTAGTTTTCCCTTTTTCCAACAGAGCGCTTATAACTGAACTAACAGCCTACATGGTTCTAGAGCGAGATTCTCATGTTTCCTATTTCAGAGCATCATTTCTCGGGCAGTCTCGTGAAACGGGATACTGGGTTTGCTGTGCCGACAAGATAACAACGCAGTGTCCGAAACAACACTGACCGCGAGAGCTTGAAAGCTCGAGCCGCTTTTACTTTTCCACCGGCCTTTCTGACGAAAGGAGGCCAAGATGGGAAGCTGAAGCAGCTCAAGCAAGACTTTTTCGTCACCATTGCCCCCCTCGGCTGCTGCCCGATGACAAGCTCGTGTTGATCAGGTTCTCGTTTCCTTTCCTTTTCATTCATAATGTAGCCTGATATAGTGTGGAACAAGAACGGCTCCGTGTATTATAATTAGTTTGAAGTTATCTGATAGTAAAGTATTTATTTGAGGACCAGTCTGTTACAATCCAGAACCTTGAGAGCAATTTCATAAGTCAAATCGATGGGCAATTTCTAATGAGGATTCAGATGGAGAATACAATATACAGGTTTGTTCTTGGTAATCAAACCTATCATAAGATAACGCCTGCTTACAAGAATCCATGAGGTACAATTGAATATGTTCATGTCATTGGATTCTCCAGTTTTTTGTTCTCAATTCTCATTCTTTTTTCTCTCTGGTTAAGGTTTGGACGGATAGTGCGTAAGCTGAAAGCGGTTAATCCTACCAAGCCGCCTCTGAATTCTAATGTACTCAATGGAAAATGGGAGATCATTTATACGACCTGTGTCCATTTTTCAGATAAAGGTAAAATCGAAATCTTTCCTTGTCTCTAGCTGCAAAATCTGTTTAAACGATGTTGTGATATTTATATTCAGTCCCAAGCATTTCCAGAACGTTAAAAATGGATGTTTTGAATAAACTCGGAAAAAAAGAAATGAGTTGCCTCCTTAAATCCTTAGAGCTCCACAATGAAGAACATTCTTTTCCCTTCATTGACTGTTAAATCGTTATGTATGGAAATATAATGGTATGCAGATACCACAGACGTGACTGAGCTCAGCCTCACCAAGACAATGTAGGAACTAACATCTATGCTTGAACAACAATGAGAAGTCTCATAGTCCTCCACAGAAGATTTCTTCAGTAATCACAAGAAATACCGAGAATGCTGCAGGATAGAAGCAAAGAAACAGAAAGATCCATCCTTCCACTCCTGCCACTTCACTACTTGAAAGGAAAACTCGGGAAAATCTTTCTCTGAATATCCATCAGTGGGTTCTCCAGCGTTAGTGAAAAAATCGTTTGATATATGGATAGCTGTCTTGACTTAGATATCAGCATTCTATGATGTTGAGTGAAGTAGAAAGTTTTGTTTTCAGCCCCATTGATTTCCTCGAATTCGTGTATATTGCCAATGTAGTACTACTTAGATGTAGAATGTATGTATTTTTTTGCATATTATTTGCCCTTTGTCAAAAGCTTCAGAAACTCGAAGAACACTTTTGTGTAGCCTCTTCCTCCTATGGTTTGATGGTGTTGATTTGATGCAAAGAAAACAACAGGGGTGAAAGCAAACCTGTGGGCAACATGTGCTGGGGAAGACTGGAGTTAGGTACTTCTTTTTCTTCCTCAAAATTCAGTTTCTTATTTTGTTAGGAGAGTATCTTCTACTTTCAAAATTAGCTTCTGGAATATGATGTTCCACTGACAAATACCCTATTAACCTGTAAGCAATTCTCTCTTTTATGTTTTAGTCTCTTTTTTAAAATGATCATGGTCATGCTGCTTTTTTCTGCTTCGGATGGTTTATGGTTCAGCTCTAACAGGAAATAGGTGAGGAACCAACAACAATATGACTTAGAAATTAACAAAACTTTATAAGTTGAAAATATATACATTTTTCATATTATTTGCCACATGTTAAATGCTTCAGAAATGCGTAGAATACTTGCTTCTTAGATTTTCATCGCTGCTGTTCTGATCTTTTATGGATCTGTACTTTCTTCCTCCTATGGTTTCCTCGGGGTTAATATTTGTGTAAAGAAAACAGGGCAGACAGAAAACACTGGGGAAACATCTGCAGAGCGAAACCGTATCTAAAGTTAGGTACTTTTTTTTTCTTCAGAATTTATTTTCTTACTGTGTTAGGAGAGTCAAGCCAACATAAGTCTTCTTCCTAAGCTAGCTTCTAGAATCTGATTTTCAACAGCTTGAGAAACGTGTAGAACACTTGCTTGTCAGATTTTCATCATTCACCCATACACCCACATATATATATATATATATATGTATATATATGTAGATTTTCATCATTCACCCATTCACATGTTCACCCATACACCCACATATATATAATATATATATGTATGTATAAATATATGTATGCAAATGCATACATGTGTATATGTTTGTGTGTGTGTATATATATGTATGCATATATGTGTATATATATGTACTAATCATCAACCCTTTTGCATTTCTTATTACCTTGTGAAGCCTATGAAATTATGAATCCAAATGATAAACCCTTTTGGGACACTGGGTTTGCTGTGATGAGTCTGATGACAAGATTACAACACAGCGTCCGAACCGATGATGGCAGTGAGAGGTTGAAACTCGAGCGACTTTTACTTTGCTGCAGACGATTTTGATGAAAGGAGGCTGAGGCGCGATGCTGAAGCAGCTCAGGCAAGACCTTTTCGACACAATCCCCCCTCGATCATGGCGCCATGCGATTGAGATTCAAGCAGTGGCGCGATGAAAGGAGGCTGAGGCGCGACGCTGAAGCAGCTCAAGCTCCGTGTTGATCAGGTTTTCTTTTCCTTTCCTTTTGATTATGAATTCTTGTTTTGTCAAGAGAATGTTGCCTTTTTCCTCAGCTTCTGGAATCTGATGTTCCACAGGCAAATACCCTGTAAGTAATAATTCTCCCTTTTATGGGATTTTCCCCTTTTCGAGAAAGTTGTAGTCTCTATTTTTTTAATGCTCATGATCATGCTGCTTTTTAATTCTTCGGTTGTTATGTGGTTGAGTTGTAACAGGTAGTAGATAAGGAACCAACAAGAATCTGATTTAGAAGTTGGCAAAACTTTTATAGATTGAAATGTAAATATTTTGCAACTTATTTGCCCCGTGTTAAAAGCTTCAGAACGCGTAGAACACTTGCTTGTTAGATTTTAATCGTTGTTGTTCTGATTGTGTTGATGTTTTGCTTCTTCCACCTAAGGTTTTCATGGGATTGGTTTTTGTCCAAAGAAAAAAAAATAGGGGCGAAAGCAAAAATTAGGGCAACATCCGAAGAGGGAGACAGAATCTAAAATTAGGTACTTTTATTTTTCTCTTCAAAATTGAATTTCTTATTGTGTTAGGAGAGTCAAGCCAACATTTATCTTCTTCCTAACCTTGCATCTAGGATATGATGTTCAACAGATAAATACCATGTAAGTAACTCTCTCTTGTATTGGATTTTTCCCTTTTCGAGAATGTTTTGGTCTGTTTCTTTAATGAGTCATGATCATGCTGCTTTTTTTATGCTTCGTATATTTTGTGGGTGAGTTGTAAGAAAAAGTAGAAGAGGAACCAACATGAATCTGATTTAGAAGTTGAAAGTTGGCAAAACTTGGTATAGATTGAAAATATATACATTTTGCATATTATTTGTCACGTGTTAAATGTTTCAGATATTTGTCACGTGTGTCAACACGTATTTTGCTTGATAGATTCTCATCGATACTGTTCTGGTCTTTTATTGATCTGTAGCGCTTCTTCCACCCAAGGTTTTCATGGGGTTGACTTTGGTGCAAAGAAAACAACAGGGGCGAAAAGCATGCATATCAGCAACATCTGCCGAGGGAAACAATATCTTAAGTTAGGTACTTTTGTTTTTTCCGTTCAAAATTCAATTTTTTAATTTGTTTTTTCCTTGTCTTTTTCCTAAAAATTTAGCTTCTAGAATCTGATTATGAACAAGCAAATAACGTCAGATTCTAGAAGCAAATAACCTCTTAGTAACTCTCTGTTTTGTTTTACCTTTACATTTTCGAGAAAGTTCTAGTCTTTTTTTTTTTTATGTTAGTATCTCTGCCTTTTTGTACTTTGGATGATCTGTTGTTGAGTGGTACGAGACCTTACGTGAATCTGATTTAGAAGACTTGGTATAGATTGAAAATGTGTATATTTTGCATATTATTTGCCCTGTGTTTAAAGCTTCAGTAACGTGTAGAGCACTTGCTTGTCAGATTTTCGTCGTTGTTATTCTGTTCTTGTGTTCATGTGTTTCTTCTTCCTCTTATGGTTTCCACGGGGTTGATATTTGTGCGGAGAAAACGGCAAGGCCGACAGCAAACCTTTGGGCAACATCTTATTTAGAAGTCGAATCTAAAACATGTGGGAAACATGTGTGTTGATTTTTGTGCAATGAAAACAAGATGGGAGAAAGCAAACATGTTGGCAACATCTGCAGTGGGAGATAATATCTAAAGTTATGTGCTTTTCTTTTTTCTTTTCAAGAATCAAAATTCAATTTTTTTTTTATTTTGTTAGGAGAGACAAGCTGACAGTCTTCTTCCTCGGTTAGCTTCTAGAATCTGATGTTCATCAAGCAAATACCCTGTAAGTGACTTTCTCTTATCTGCGGTTTTTCCCTTTTTCTAGAAAGTTTGTCTTTTTTTAATGTTCATGATCATGATGCTTTTTTATGCTTTTGGGTGATCTGTGGTTGAGTTGCCTTTCATTTTGACTGTTAATCTTTTTGTTTGTAAATATAATAGGTTACCTAGACTTCTTGTAAAGAATCGGCCCTCAAAAGACAAAATGTCGCTTTGCAAATCATAGTCTGCATTGATGATTGCTATATCCTAGATCTGTCTTGATTGACTCGGTTTCTTATTTTCCAGGAAAAGTACGATTGTAGGACTTTCGATTTCAGTCAGTAATACCCAACAATGAGAAGAAGCAGTCAGTCCTATGTCAAGTAAGAATATCTATGTCATGATATGTCATGATACATTCTGAACTTGGTTGTTATGGCTTTGTTAGTTCTTCAAGAAAATGGAAGAGAAGAACTAGAATGAGGTGGCTGAAAAAGATCAATTGCTCTCTGGTGTAAAGGCAAGGCAAAACACTCAAAAAGCTACTGCAGATTCAGTCCCAAGCATTTCTTTCCATAACATAAAAAATGGATCTTTCGATTAAACTAGTAAAACAGGAAATGTGTCTTAGATCCTTAGAGTACCACTTTCGAGAACATATTTTTTCCCTTCATTTCGACTGTTAAATCTTTACCTATGGAAATACAATTATGTGCAGATATCACAGAGGTCACAGAGGTGAGCAACAATGAGAAGTCTTATCAACCTCCCCAGAAGATTTCTTAGGTGATCACTAGAATGCTGCAGGAGAGAAGTCTTATCTAGCACTTCACTACTGAAGAGCAAAACTCGGGAGAATCTTTCTGCGAATATCCATCAGTGGGTTATGGAAAAATCAATGATATATAGATGGGCTTGCTTGTTAGATTTTCATCACTGTTATGAGCTTCAGAAGCTCGAAGAAAACTTGCTTTTTAGATTTTCATCACTGTTTTGATCTTGTATTGGTGTAAAGCTTCTCCCTCGTGTGGTTTCATGGGGTTGATTTGGTGGAAAGAAAACAGCAGGGTGAAAGCAAACACGTGGGCATCTGCAGAGGGAGATAATATTTGTTAGGAGAGTGTCGGCTTTCTTCCTCACTTGCCTTCTGGAATCTAATGTTCCCCAGGCAAATACCCTGTAAGTAACTCTTTTATGGGATTGTTCCCTTTCGAGAAAGTTCTTGTCTCTTTTTTTAATGATCATTGATCATGCTGCTTTTTTATGCTTCGGATGATATGTGGTTGAGTTGTAACAGAAAGTAGATGAAGACCCAACAAGAATCTGATTCAGAAGTTGGCAAAACTTTGTATGGATTGAAATTGTATATATTTTGCCTACTATTTGCCCTGTGTTAAAAGCTTCAGAAACGCGTAGAGCACTTGCTTGTTAGATTGCCGTCGTCGTTGTTCTGATCTTTTATATATGTGTTGCTTCTTCCACATATTGTTTCCAAGGGGTTTATTTTCACAACAGGAGCGAAGACAAACATGTGGTCAACATCCGCTGAGGGGGATGGTATCTAAGCTTAGGTACTCTTTTACATTTTTTCTCTTCAAAACCGAGTGTCTTCTTCCAGAGCTAGCTTCAAGAATACGATGTTCAACAGGCAAATACCATGTAAGTAACTCTCTCTTGTATGTGATTTTTCCCTTTTCGAGAAAGGTTGCCTGTTTCTTTAATGATCATGATCATGATCATGATCATGCTGATTTTTAATGCTCCGTGTAATATGTGGTTGAGTTGTAAGAGAAAGTAGGAGAGGACCCAACGAGAATCTAATTTAGAAGTGGCAAAACTTGGTATAGATAGAAAATGTATGTGTTTTGCATATTATCTGCCATGTGTTAAAAGTTTCAGAAACGCGTAGAACACTCGCTTGTTTGATTTTCATCGCTGCTGTTCTGATCTCGTGCTGATGTTTGATTTTTGTGCAAAGAATAAAAAAACAGGGGCGAAAGCAAACATGTGGGTTCAACAAGCAAATACCATGTAAGTAATGTTTTTTTCACTTTTCTAGAAAGTTTGGATTTGCAGGTTTCGCTTTATAATAAAAAAAAATATATACAAAATAAGGTTGGCAAAAATATCCAAATTTTAAGTATCTGTCCCGATCAGAGTCGAATACTCGAAATTCGGATATTCGCCATTCAACGGGGTTGAGATTGTTGGTATTTTAGAGTAAACGATTGATGGGTTTTAATCACTCATGTGATGCACGTGTATTACGAGTATGGTGAAGGAGTAAAATACTTGTAAAAGATGTGTTGTGAATTTGTTTAAAGTGTTATGATTCGTCGGAAAAATTACGTTCTAAACTAGAACATGAAAAGGGGTAAGGTAAACACAAACTTAATAGATCTTTCGAGTTATACGACATAATTTTTGTTAAAAGATCTACCTATGTGAATACGAAGTTTGACCGCTTCAAAATGTTTTAAGATTTGACATTTATGCATTCATGGAAGGGATATAGACACATGGTCATATAAAATGTCAAGGTAAACATAAATTTGTATTGATTGTGTGTGTTACGTATTCAGTAGCTCAACAGGGTTCAATCGTTTTCGACACCTACTAAATTCGAGCTATTGAAGTATATTTTACTACATGGAAGTTCAATCATTGCGACACTTTCACTTAGTGATGTAAAACGGGCTGGCTCGGACCGGCCCGGACCGGCTCGTCTCGAGCCAGCTCATTTTTGGCTCAGCCCGTTCGGCCCGTTTTTTTACGAGCTAGAAAAACTCTGATCCAAACCAAATTGTCCGAGCTCCGAGCCGGCTCGCGAGCCAATCCATTTTTATCTAATTATTCAAAAAAATTTAAAATTACATGAAAATTAATCATTTAAAGTCTACGTAACAATATTTTGAAGTCATACAATATAACATAAAATATTTAACATAACAATCCATAAAACTATATCTAAATCAAGAAAAATTAACAAAACCAAACCAACATAAAAAAGTGTAATACACCAACAACATCAAAATATAACAAAAAATATACATCAACATCAACATAAAAAGTTTCATACATCAACAACATCAAAATATAACAAAACGTAATACACCAACAACATCAAAATATAACAAAAAATATACATCAACATCAACATAAAAAGTTTCATACATCAACAACATCAAAATATAACAAAACATATACACCAACATCAACATATCATGAATTTTAATTTGCTATATAAACAGAAGAAGTGAAGAAATTAAAGTATGAAACCCTAATATTTTTTTAATGT